AGAACACTATGAAGAGCAGTTTAATTGGACTACAGCCACACTTAACCTGCCGAACATCCAACACCTCCCTGAATGGGATATAGACACAGGTCCTCCTTCCTTAACTGAGGGTACTAAGTCTGTCACTAGTCTGAAACGAGGCAAAGCAGCAGGACCTGATGGAATGACTCCAGAGGTATTTAAGTACGGTGGAGACAGTTTACTGTCTGCGTCAACTAAGGTACTAGGCAGCGTCTGGGAATCAGAGGAAGTCCCATCGGATTGGTGTCAGTCACTGATTATCTCGATATACAAGAAGGGAGACAGGTCTTCCTGTGACAACCACAGGGGATTAGCTTGACTAATATGGCATCCAAAGTTCTAGGCTCAATAATATTGCGTAGACTAAGTGATGATCGGGAGGCACAAACACGAGAAAACCAGGCAGGTTGTAGGCCAGGAAGAGGGTGTATTGATCATACCTTCACCCTCCGACAGATCCTAGAACACGGGCATTCCTACCGGCGTCCAACAATCACTATATTTCTTGACCTAAAGGCGGCATTCGATTCTGTCGACCGAGAGGTTCTCTGGCGATGCTTGGCTGTAAAGGGAATGCCGAGAAAATACATTGCACTGATTAAGGCACTCTACTCGTACTCATGCAGCCAGGTGAGGGCTTACGACGAGTTGTCATCTGAAGTGGTGACGACTAGTGGCGTCCGTCAAGGATGCCCATTATCCCCATTTCTATTCAATTTCATCGTAGATGTACTAATGGACTTAACTCTAACTCACTTCAGAGACTCAGGGATTGACTTGCTACCAGGGAATAATCTCGTTTACTTAGAATATGCAGACGATATAGTCCTTCTAGGCGAGGACGCTGACAAAATCGAGCAGTATTGTGAACACCTTGAGCTGCAATTTACGAATGTTTGGCATGCGATTCGCTCCCGCCAAAATCAAGATGATGCTACAGGATTGGACTACACCGACTCCTAGATTAGAAATAGGGAGTGAAGTGGTAAAGCACGTTGACCGCTTCACTTACTTGGGAAGTACCATCAGCCCCAACGGGTTGATCTCTGACGAAATCTCAGCACGGATACAGAGGGCTAGTTTCGCATATGCCAGTTTACGCCGTCTCTGGCGTAGACGTGATATCCGCCTATCGACCAAAGGGCGGATGTACTGCTCAGCAGTCCTCTCCTTCCTCTTTTATGGCTGTGAGTGAGACCTGGCCATTGAGAGTGGAAGAAATGAAGGGCTAGCTGTCTTTGATTATAGGTGTCTGCGTTCCATCTCCCTTGTTAGGTAGTATAATAGGGTGAGAAATATTGAGGTCCGTCACCGGTCGAGTGCTAGGCAGGTGGGAAGGGAAATCAATAGACGAGGCTGTGAAATTATATCGACTGAGACGGTTGGGACATGTGTTACGTATGCCTAGTCATCACCTTCCTCGACGGACAATGTTAGCTGAAATAGGGTCAGGCTGGAAAAGAGCTAGCGGTGGTCAAACGAAAACATTGCACCAGTTAATGAAATCTACAGCAGTTAGTCTAAGCCACGTAGGAAGGTGTAGACTTCCCGGTTGGGGTCCTCGGGACGGTAGAAACCAATGGTTGGAAACAATTGGTGACATGGCTCAAAATCGTTCTCAGTGACGCAGATGCATCCACTCCTTGTGACTTATGATTTCCAATGAAACTGTTTTGTTCTCCGTTATTACTATTCCTTTGTCTCACGCCTCTGTTTACTGTCATTATTATGCATTTCTCCTACTTCCTTCTCTTGCTTTGTGTGCTACATGGAGTGTGGCGACTTGAACTGCCGCACATCAGTGCAAAGTTCTATGTCGAAAACAGACAGACAGACTTCGTAATGTTCCAAAGCTTTCTTGACATAGTCGTCTTTATTAAGAATTACAGTGATATTGCCTTTGTCAGCTTTAGTTGTAACAACAGATTTATCTGATCTTAATGTTTGTAATGCATGACGTTCGTTCTTCGACAAATTTGGGATGCCCTGCTTTTGATTTGATAGGATACATCCAACCTTCTGACGTAATTCATTAGCTTCATCATCAGGTAAAAGAGTTAATATAGGTTCCATGGTGGGATCTAATTCTATCACTGTCAGTGGTTTTCGAGTTATGTTAAAGTTAAGTCCCTTCTCAAGTAATGCTGTCTCATGTACATGAAGTTCTTTATCTGATAAGTTGCATACTGTTCTTGTGTTTGTCTGCACATTTGACTTATTTGCTCTGGAGTATGCTGCTTTCGGATTTATAAGTTTTTCGAATTTGTCTTTGCTTCGTAGTATTGAAATGAGCGGACTTTCGATCTTCGAATAATTGGGTAATGTTAGTAAGATGATCTTTGGATATAAGATTATTTAGACATTCATCAATATTATTAATTCGATATTGATGTGATGCATGCTATATAGAGGAGAGCAGTAGGCAGGTGAAGGTCAAAGTGAATGAACATAGACTATGCACGAAACGTCCACCTAGAAATGAAGTAGAATTAAAACGTCTGGAAAAAAGATCGGCTATAGTAATGCATACGATAGACAGCGGACATTAGGTTGATTTCGACAACGTCGAAATTCTTGGAAGAGGATTTCATTCACATAAAGAAAGATTGACTTCTGAAGCCTTGCACATTTTAACCACATCGAATGCAGTGAATAGGAAAGAAGGGATAAACTTATCACCTATATGGCAAACTCTTAGGAAGCATGACATGAAAAAACAACAAACACTCAATGAGCCTCCATGACCTTTTAAAACATGTAGTATCATGTTTATCACATATGAATTCACGTATTTTCCACATGACAAATAACATACACACACTCATACAAAACTAATCTTCATAAATCAACTATAGAAGAGTATACACAACAACAATTTGACATTAGTCATTACAAATATATGTGATGATTGCTGTCTATGGACAAATGACCTTCAAATAAACTGACTTCAATTTACGTAAAAAATTTTGACCATATATTTTGATGATTAATAAAAATCTGATGAAGAAGCTGTGGTTTACACAGCGAAACGTTCAAAAAATTGCTTAACTATATCATGAAATTTAAAAAATAGGCTTGTACAATCAAAATACATTAATCCCAACATAGAACGAATTCAATACAGTGCACAGTCATACAGTACTATTCACCAGTGAAGTGCAACCAAAACTTATTGCTTGAGTTATATCACAGTATTTACGAAACCTTTTGAATTTGTCTGCTTATTTCTATCATTTCTTGTCCTCTGATATTTACAGTAACCATATTTTCTGTACCTTGAGCTCTGGTGTTGCATATCGCACTCCATCTATATTATACGGAACATATTCGGTAAATAATACTGTATCTCTTTATACTATTTTAGACAAATTATCCCTTAATATAAGTCTGTTCCCGATTTTGGTATAAATATAATTTGGTCTAACTAACTTAGCTCGGTGCTAAAGATGAGCTCAGCTTTTGCTGAAATTAAACACCGCATATCTACCTTTGGTAAACATTTCACACTTAAACAACAAAAGAAGTTGTATATTCTCTGACATGACCAGATCTTTAAATGCCTATGATCATGTTATCCTCTTTTTTTTCATCCAATCAAACCAGAAACAGAAAATGTAATTCACATACTTTTGGGTACTATAATGTAAGGCAACGTGTTGCAATGGTGCGTGAAGTTTTTCGTTGTTCATATATTGATGAATGTAGCAGATGACACTTTGGTTGAAAGGAGAACTCTTCATATTATTTAAATAGTGATTAACTATACAGTAATCCAATTCGTTGTCAGGCTCTATGCATTTATGATCTTATTCTCCACATCAAAGGTTTCTACACTGGACCTTTGTATTCATATATGTGCACTTGCTGATCCGACCTTATAACTATTAAGCATTCGGCATATGAAGTGGTCTTTTTTCACTATGTAGTTCAGTTGTTCAATCGATTGTTTGAAATAAATAACATCAAAGATTGGTGAATACTTACCTACCAACACTTCCTCAGGATATGTCTAGTAATAAGAAAATAGAATGTTAGGCTTTTACTGTCTACTGCCTCTGTTTAAACTAACCGTATAAAAATTTATACACTTTAGAATTTCGGAGTATTTCTAAGTACATCATTCATTTCGTTTTCTTACGGTGCTAGATTAAATGAAGTACTGAAAAAGTAATAAATAAGGTACTCCACTAAAGAATGACTTTTAAATAAACAGAAAAGACTTTTAGTTCTCTGATTAGGATTATTAAGTGTCAGGACCAGAGTTTAGTTAAAACTCAGTTGTCTGTGATAGATTCTTGACGTGCCTGTGACCCACACTCAGTATGTAAAAGCTGGTGGTACTACCAAGTTATCAAAGTTGAACCCAGAAGCCATTAGCTGAAGGTTGAGTGCTTATTCCAATGGGCCAAATCCCTATAAATCGGAGTTCAGTAAATTTATCTAGCCTAGTTCAATAGGAATTCTAGTAACACATAAAAATATAATACTGTTGTCTCAACTTCTTTTTGTTTTAAATAGTCGGTTATGGTTGGGTGTTTGATCCTCAGTTGAACAGATGTATTCATCTATAAATCACTACTGTCTGAACTCAAAAAGTGAATATAACAAAAACATTTTATTTGTTATCTAAGTCTTGTAATAGTCTGCTTTTAATCATAATGTTACATAAAATAAGGTCATTAGAACATTTGTCACCATTGAAATATTGTATTTTCTATACTTACCAATGAAATGTTATTCTTAACAGTATTTCACTTTTAATTAGTTTTGCCCTACAAACAAACTCTCTGAATATTGGTTATTGTATTAATTTCGTGGTGAAAATGTCGCAAAGTATTTCTTAACTCATTCGTTCCTTACCCATGCCAATAGCCTTTACGTTATCATTCAGATAATTACAGTCATGTTTAACTTTATTCTCCATTCTTTTCCTTCATCAGCGATTTTGATTGACAACAGACGAAAGCTTGTTTTTCTGGATGGGTGACAACGATAAACTTTCCGGCTATAGTGATAGGAATATAAAAATCAGAAAATTAACAAGTATAGCAAAATCTTGGGGTATCAATGGCAATTTGACAATAAGTAAGTTTAGACTGGTTTTCTGTTTCATCCTGCTTTAGATGAAATTGGCTTGCAGTTAGTTGATAGATCTTTAACACATCCTGTGCGGAAGAATGTAAGCTCCAGATTATTCTTATTGTCTCATTTTATAACTTTTTATGGATATTTTGACTCTTTCTCCTCGGTATTTTTTTTTCTGTAAATTGTATCAAGCTTTTAGAAGCATTCCATCTATTATATCAACTGAAAACGCCTAATGAAATCTATCCATTAGTTATCATCGAGAAAATTATCACTTGTCTAACCTTATCTCTTACACATGAATATAAACTAGAAGCACTAAAACTACTGCTGTTAATAGCGTTAGTTTTTATTAAAATTCTTTATATATAATAATAAATCAAGTGAAGAGGAAAGAGGTTTACGCAATATACTACGACTGCAAGGTTGTGATGCAACAATGTGTCTGCTGTTTGATTCTGAAGAAATTCTGAAGCCTCACTGTTTGAATTTATTGATCAGGTAACTGTCTTCATTATTTTGTCACCGTTTTCTTCCATTAAAGACTCATGTTGATCATATATATATTGTTGGTTATGCTTCTTTTTTAACGATATTTTTCTTAGGTTACCTAGATTTCTTTTTTGTCAGTAAAAGATGGGATACTTAATAGTAGAATAATACATGTTTGTTGTTTAAAAAAATGTAAATTACTAATTTTGAAAAATACTTAAGCATGTAAAATACACCACTTATTTGATTAACTATCTATATGTCCATTAACCGTACTGCATTTACAAAAACAGAGCACTTGTACCTCAACTTTCACACCTACTTGTAAAATGAACATTATAATAACAATGGCCTTATTCCAAAAATTAATCAAAATAAAATAATACACTTCCTATTTAGACAACTTTAGTCCAAATCATCGTCTCATTTCCAAAATGATATAGAAGTAAGATACATTTATCTAAGTATGTTCATTTCCAGAACATTCGAGTTTTTAGATTTATTTGAGTTGATTACAGTTTCCAACCATGTTACAGGATAAAATACAAATCTTTGTATTCGTTCAGAATATTTAATCCTTAATGCTTCATATATTTTAATGAAGTTTTTCAGACCAGCTTAAGGTTTCTGACATATGTTACTAAGTAGTTAAAATAAATTTTGACAACCGTTTCTGAAATTCACTTCACTTATGTATTTTAATAATTAAATGATATGAAGCTTACTTTTACCTAGTCAGCCACATTTATTATTTTACTGTGCAGAATGCTGTTGAACATGTTTAGTTTCTGCTCAGCAGAATTCGTGTTAACTCATACAAATATTTGTTTTTTTTTCTCTCCATAGCATTGTTATCAATTTCATCAAATTGGATTGTTTTTTAAAGTTGTTCTATGGAATAGGGGGCTCTGATATTACTGAATATTTAAAGGCTTAGGAAGTATCCCCATTCTCCTTATAGTTGAAGTGAGGTGTCAAGTAAACCTTAACTACTACGTACTACCTTCAACTACATGCATTTATTCCCCTTGATAAATTTAAATAAAGCAAGAACAACAGCGGTTTGTGCAGAATAATATGGTACCATCATTTATTTCGTCGGCTTCTCATCAGCTGCTTACAGCCTAAATAAATTGTGAGGTTTACGTACAGAAAAGTTTTTTACATACTTGCAAATTTTACATGTTGTCAGTTGACAGAAGATTCCACAATAAGTGAACAGTGCTCAGAAAATTGCGCTTATATAGTTTTTTCACAGGCAGTTCAAGTTTAAACAAAATAGATGTATGCATACAATGGTAAAAGAGTTACGTAATAAAGACGAGAGGTGAGTAAGATGATGAGTAACTAATAAATTTTGTAACGATGTACTGAGTTCAAATCACGTCATAGAAACAAGAGACAAGCAATATTACAGATTTTAAAAATAAAAAATAAAAAAGGAGGGGTGAGGTTAAAGACAAAGATTACGTAATCAGATTAGAGAATAAAGACATCCAGTTACCATGGCAAGGAAAGACTAATAACTGCTTCTTTCTGAACACATAAATCTGGTTTGAAGCGTTTGATAGAAATTGCTTCCGCAAACTTGAGGAGAATGGAGCTCCTTTGTCTATTGATAATTTTAAAGGATTTCTCGATTTCCACCTCATGACCCGTGTCGAGGAGATGCCTGGCGATGGCACTGTTTAAAGAATTTGTTCCCTTTAGACGTAAGCTTTTTGGTACATGTTCAGAAAATCGTAGATATGCCCTTCTTTCTGTCCTTCCAATGTAACTGCTCCCGCAGATGCATGTAAATTTGTATATGCAGTTGGAGTTCACATGAGAGGGATATCTATCGATTTTTGATTGCACCAAAGAGCAAGTTGTTTGATAGACGGGAACGAGCTTGGCTGCAGGATAGGCTATAGCTAGTGATGTACTCAGCCTTCTGTTGATCATCGCTGTAATGTTTTCACCTTTATAATCAAGCTGAAAGTAGATTGGCTTTTTTTCCACTGTGATTTGTTTTACATTTTTGACTTCAGATCTTCCATACTTGTTGATGAACCTTTGAGGGTATCCATTTCTCTTCAATGTCTTTTCAAGAAACTCAAATTCTTCCTCTAATTTCTCTATAGAGCATATTCTTCTCGCTCTATAGTACAGAGTCTTGACTAGACCGCGTTTAAAGCTATTTGGACAAAAGCTATTGAAATGTAAGTATTGTCCTTTCCATGTAGGCTTTCGATAAATTGACTTTTGAAGACTACCGTCTTCCAGGCGTTCCATGGCAATGTCGAGGAAGTGAAACTTTCCGTCACTTTCATGTTCCATAGTAAACTCAATATTTCTGTGTGCATCATTGAATAATCTGAGTAAGTGTGAAGCATGACTTTCATTGTTGCACACTATAAATGTGTCATCAACATATCGACAGTAGGAATTTGTTTCGTCGATTGCATGCTTCAACTTTGTTCTTTCAAGGTTGGACATGAATATATCTGCTAAAACAGGGCTAAGTGGACTGCCCATAGCTACACCATCAATTTGGCGGTAAAGAGTGTTGTCAAATTGGAATTGCACATCCGTGGTACACATAAGGAGTAGGCGTTTGAATTCCGACTCTGGGAGTGGAAGAAGATCAGAGTGCTGACAAATGATCTCAATAGTTTCGTTGATTGGAATCATTGTGAATAAGGAGGTTACGTCAAATGACACCATGAACTTATTTAAAACGTTCATGTGGTTCACACTTTCCGAGAAATGAAATGAGTCCTTCATATTGTGCACGCCTAGCCGTTGACGAATAGGTTCCAACTTCTCTGCAAGCCAACGTGCCACCTTATGTTGGGGCGAGTTGATCATCGAAAGTATGGGTCTCAGGGGGACTTGTTTTTTGTGTATCTTCGGAACGCCATACATGTGTGGCAAGCGGGACCCTCGGGGTTTCAAATCATTGTACGTAGTGTTGTCAATCAATTCCTTCTTTAGCAGATCTCTCAATGCGTTTGTGATACGTTTTTCGACTGTATCAGTCTTATCCTTCTGGCAATTGTCAACTTTGAAACTCAACGGGTCATTTAACACAGCTTTCATCTTTGCAATGTAGTCCTCTTTATCCATCAGCACCACTCCTGAGCCTTTGTCAGGTCGCAATATAACAATTCTGTCATTATTTGACGTAACCTCCTTATTCACAATGATTCCAATCAACGAAACTATTGAGATCATTTGTCAGCACTCTGATCTTCTTCCACTCCCAGAGTCGGAATTCAAACGCCTACTCCTTATGTGTACCACGGATGTGCAATTCCAATTTGACAACACTCTTTACCGCCAAATTGATGGTGTAGCTATGGGCAGTCCACTTAGCCCTGTTTTAGCAGATATATTCATGTCCAACCTTGAAAGAACAAAGTTGAAGCATGCAATCGACGAAACAAATTCCTACTGTCGATATGTTGATGACACATTTATAGTGTGCAACAATGAAAGTCATGCTTCACACTTACTCAGATTATTCAATGATGCACACAGAAATATTGAGTTTACTATGGAACATGAAAGTGACGGAAAGTTTCACTTCCTCGACATTGCCATGGAACGCCTGGAAGACGGTAGTCTTCAAAAGTCAATTTATCGAAAGCCTACATGGAAAGGACAATACTTACATTTCAATAGCTTTTGTCCAAATAGCTTTAAACGCGGTCTAGTCAAGACTCTGTACTATAGAGCGAGAAGAATATGCTCTATAGAGAAATTAGAGGAAGAATTTGAGTTTCTTGAAAAGACATTGAAGAGAAATGGATACCCTCAAAGGTTCATCCACAAGTATGGAAGATCTGAAGTCAAAAATGTAAAACAAATCACAGTGGAAAAAAAGCCAATCTACTTTCAGCTTGATTATAAAGGTGAAAACATTACAGCGATGATCAACAGAAGGCTGAGTACATCACTAGCTATAGCCTATCCTGCAGCCAAGCTCGTTCCCGTCTATCAAACAACTTGCTCTTTGGTGCAATCAAAAATCGATAGATATCCCTCTCATGTGAACTCCAACTGCATATACAAATTTACATGCATCTGCGGGAGCAGTTACATTGGAAGGACAGAAAGAAGGGCATATCTACGATTTTCTGAACATGTACCAAAAAGCTTACGTCTAAAGGGAACAAATTCTTTAAACAGTGCCATCGCCAGGCATCTCCTCGACACGGGTCATGAGGTGGAAATCGAGAAATCCTTTAAAATTATCAATAGACAAAGGAGCTCCATTCTCCTCAAGTTTGCCGAAGCAATTTCTATCAAACGCTTCAAACCAGATTTATGTGTTCAGAAAGAAGCAGTTATTAGTCTTTCCTTGCCATGGTAACTGGATGTCTTTATTCTCTAATCTGATTACGTAATCTTTGTCTTTAACCTCACCCCTCCTTTTTTATTTTTTATTTTTAAAATCTGTAATATTGCTTGTCTCTTGTTTCTATGACGTGATTTGAACTCAGTACATCGTTACAAAATTTATTAGTTACTCATCATCTTACTCACCTCTCGTCTTTATTACGTAACTCTTTTACCATTGTATGCATACATCTATTTTGTTTAAACTTGAACTGCCTGTGAAAAAACTATATAAGCGCAATTTTCTGAGCACTGTTCACTTATTGTGGAATCTTCTGTCAACTGACAACATGTAAAATTTGCAAGTATGTAAAAAAACTTTTCTGTACGTAAACCTCACAATTTATTTAGGCTGTAAGCAGCTGATGAGAAGCCGACGAAATAAATGATGGTACCATATTATTCTGCACAAACCGCTGTTGTTCTTGCTTTATTTACCTTCGACTAAATGAAGTTTTATAGCTTGGATCCTACCTTTCAAGTAGACAAAGAGTCTAGAGTATTCTATCACTTCAAATTGTTACACTGGGTAGAAAAATAAATCAATTTCCGAACAATTTTGTTACCTGTCGACTGAGGTGCACATTCTGACCGCGGTTTTTAAATTATCTGAATATCACTGTAACATCCAGCTAGGAGGATGTCCGTTTATTCACTCTAAGGCTTTAATGAAACCTAAAATGAATCACTTTTTATAAGCAAGGGGGAACACAATTACTTCCAGTAGAAACTCGATAACGAAGCTGAAAAGGAAAATAGAGAAGCAGTGAAACCGTCTTATGTATCGTAGAAATAGAATTCACCTCTGCATTACAGGTTTACCATGCGAAGTATGAACTTTAAATTTTCTCTACCTACCTGCATCAATTACGATGATTTAAAATAAAACTTTTTATTTTTTTCTACCACTTCTCATGAATTTTTAATACTATATTGCCTTCCCTGATCATATTCTACCTGCTAATCTTGAATAACTACTTTCTACAGGTTACCGCTAAGAAAAACAGTTTATTTTCAGTCAATTCACTATCCTCCTTTACGGAATATGTGTATCCAGACAAGTACTTTTTTTCTTATTCCTTGACATCCCCAGTGGAACAAAAGGCTTCAAGCCAGCGGCTTGAAGTTTCGGTAGCAGTGGTGTTTATTTTTACGGGATGGGGTTGCTGGCCTCATGCCCAAGCTTTCCTCGTTACCAGCCTTGTTAATGGCTTAGCGAGGTAACGGAATGCGTCGGCCGGAGATTGAACCCCGGACCACATGAGGTGTGGTTGATGAGCATTCTGCCGCTGTGCCACCGACGCACAAACAAGTACATAATGAAAATTTATTCACTTTTCAAAATTAGAACTGATATTTCCCAAATGGATCTCTTCATTAAAGGCTGCAATGATTTCCACTGTACTGTCTCAACTTTTAAGATATCTTCAATAAAAAAAAGTAGTAATTAACCAACTAACTACTACTATTACCTGAGAATTATCTTGTCTCTCACATTGGAACTCTCTACCAATACAGTAGTTGATTGGTATTCATTTGGGCTTCATTGTTTAAACTGTACTTAATAGTTTGCGTGTGCATTCAATTATACAAATAATCTCCATTTTCGTGTTTTCATTATCTCCAATTTCTTCATTTCCGAGTAAAGTGTTCTATCAAAACTGATCTACCCTTTCATACTCTTTCCTGGGAAAAATGTCAACCACTACGTTTGGGAAAGTAAACATGGTATTTGCACTTTCTTCAACCCCTAAAAATTACAAATATTTAGCAGAAGTCATCTAATACCACAGTGTGACTAAGTTTAATCATACCAAAGTGATTTTGAAGTAAATATTCCTTATATATTGACTTAGACGTCATAATTAGTCAAACAAACTAGTCAATACGTCAAGATGTATTCGATAGATTATTAATTAGAGCAGGCTGATGAATAATTAAGTCATCTGTGTCCACCATAACAACAAAAGCTGCACAGGAGTGTACTTGTCACAAAAAGGTCCTTTTGTCAATACTTTCGTGTTTGCATATATAAATCATCTATTGTTTTCAATTTCTAAGCATTTTTCCTAAGACTGTTGTTTAAAGATCGTTATGTGTATAGGAATCCTAATAAGGTTAGTTGCTTACATTCATCTAGTTTGAAGTGTTTAAAGATGTTATTATACCACCTAAAAAAGATGAGTAAATTATATGAACATATATTTTTCGTCATATTCCCATCAGTGTTATTGATATAAGTATAAAACTTGGGCACTGTGGGAGAGTATAACTCCATTATAGATAAGATTTTATTTTGATAAATCAAACAGTGTTATACATTAGACTGTTATACTGTATAACACTGTGTGATTCATCAAAATAAAATCTCATCTATAATGGAATACTTCCATCAGATTTAACTTTTCCAGTATGACATCTTTGTACAGCACTGTGCATATATATGGACAAATGATTAATATCCTGTTAATCCAAATCTGAATTTGAATGCATTTTGTTGTAACTGTTAGAATTACTGTGGTTCTGTAATGCACTAAGTATTTGGTTGGTAAAACTGGGCAAGTACTAGTTGGCCAATCGACCGAACTGGATGGTTGTGTATCTAAATGGCAATCCCTCATAAGAAATCCTGTTACACATGTTAAAGCTCTCACTGAATGCATATCAGAATACAGAGGAACTCCTCTTCAATATATATGCTATGTATCGTTCTTTAAGTTGGTAAATTTTGATTTACCCGCAAAAAGTATCACCTATATGATTTGATCGTAAACTGTTCAATAGGCAATAAATTGTCAACAGAAGTAACTCAAAAGCCATAAGTCAGTCAATAAATGTTGGTCTGCGTAGTTCGTCCCCCTTCCCCCTCAAAACATATTTTCACTGGGATAATGACGTCAGTCATTATTAAATCAACTATGCTGTTCACATTTGCATTAGTAGTTAAATAATAACACTTTTAGTTAGGACAAGTAATTTAGTTCATATTATGTCTTCTAAATTAAATTGTTTTCAGGATTTCAGAATCTATTAGAGGAAGCATTGCTATTCTTGAATATGCCAATTCGCCTCAACAACTGCTACTACAATTGCAAAACTCAAGAAAGCTCGGCAATTTAATACTCAAGGTATATTTTTGGAGAGATAATAAAACTTTATAACATTAAAAAATATATTAGTTCACTAACAGCTCATTCTAAACAGCATGAAAGTGAAAGTATGGTAACAGTTTGTGATGTGCTCCTAAAGAGAATTTGTGAGTAGTATATTGTGAGACAAGATGAATATTCGTTGGACTGACGAAGATACTGGAAGGTGTCTGTCTGATATCACACAAACGTGAACATATATAAGCTCAAACCAACAAGTTTACAGAAGAGGCAGGCAGCAAAAACTAGACTTGAAGTTAACATGTAAAAAACAGAGGTGATGAAGATATCTAACCAACAACACGAAAAACCAATCACCATTGGCGCGAGAAATCTACAGGAAGTGGTCTCTTTCACTTATCTAGAAAGCATTTTTTTCAACTACGAGTAACACCGATGAGAATGTCAAGGCCAGCCAGAACATGAACAGCGAGACAGACGTTCGTTACTCTTCAATCAGTGGACAAATCTGCCATAATTGTAACAAGAAACAAGATGCACATCTTCAACACAAATGTCAAGAAATTTCCTGTATATGATCCAGGTACTTGGCGCGTCACCAGTAGCATTTTCAACAGGCCGCAGACTTTCGTCAACAACTGTCTTAGCTCGATCCTGAGATTAGGTGGCAAAAAAGCATTAGCGCAAGGAACTTTGCCAACCAAGAACTGACTTTGACATCTTCATTCGTTCCGCCTGTAGTTGAAACGATGCTTTCTGGATAAGTGAAGAAAGCTACATCCTTCAAATTTCTCCCGTTGGCGGTGATTGGTGCTGCTTGTTGTCGCTGTTGGTTAGTTATCTTCATCACCTCTGTCTTCTCTATGTTCACCTGGAGTCCTGTTTTCGCTGCTTCTTCTGCTAGTTTGTTCGTTTTCGCCTGTAAGTCTTCGAGTCTGTGTGACATAAATCATCTGCTAAATGCAGATCTTCTAGAGTCTTTATACTCGTCCAGTGTATTGCTGTCTTCTCACTCCCCACGCAGAGTATGACGCATGGTCCAATCCACCACAATTAGGAATATGATTGGTGATAATAGGCGGCTAGCTTGTTTTACTCCTGCATTCAATTCAAAGTCCTCGCTGAGTGAGTTTTCCGTTGTGGATCACTTGATACGTGCCACTGTCACATAGCCAGCTGTTTGATAGAGATTTGGGCACTGAACGCCATGGTGTTGAAGTAGTTTCCAAATTACCTCTTGGTCAACGCTGTCGAAGGCTTTTCGAAGTCGATGAAGTTGAGGTGGAGGTTTGACTGCCATTCTCTGCTTTGTTCGATGATGATGCACAGAGTTGCAATTTGATCAGCACATGATTTACCTTTCCTGAATCCAGCTTGTTCCGGTTGGCGAAGATCTGCATCCAGTGGATGTCTTAGTCTCCCCGAAATGACGTGACTTAGTATTTTGCCTGGCGTGGAAAAGGGGATTATTCCACTCCATTCCATTCCATGCAGAGGCCTAGGTTAGCCTTCTTTGGAAGCTTGACAAGGTAGCCAGCCTTTCTTCCAATCGGTGGGCACCTTTCCAAGCCTTTTGCAATAATGGCGTGAGCACATCTACTGCAGTCTCTGGGTCCGTCTTCAGTTCTCCAGGAGCAATTCCGTCTGATCTTGCTGCCTTCTCGGCCTTCAGTGGGTGGATTGCATTCAAGATTTCTGTCTGTGTTGGAGGATTGGTGTCCACTGGCAGGCAGTTCTGTGCGTGCTGTCGGTGGTGGTGGTATTTCTGGGCGGGCTGCAGGTGATGGTTGATTCAAGAGTGCTTTAAAGTGATCAGCCCATTGTTTTGTTTGCCTCTCCTCTTCGGTAATTAGGTTCCCTTGACCATCGTTCATAGGTTTCTCCTGTGTTGATCTTTTCTTGGATAGAGACCTGGTTATCTGGTGTGATATTCTGAGGTATCTCTCACCTGTGGCCTGTTCTACTGCAATTTTCAGTATGTCGTAGAATTGTCTTTCGTCTTTCCTAGCACTCGTCTTCACTTCCTTATCCAGTGCGATGTACATTGAACTCAACTTCCTCTGTTGTCCATCTTTGCATTGAGTCGTCTTCTCTTTCATCATCCTTCTCTCTTCTATTAAATTCCAGGTACCCGTTGAGAGCCAATCTTTGTCTTCTTTCTTCCTAGAACTGTTGTACACGTCTCCTAGAACGTCACCTTCAGATAGTTCCACTGTTCTTCCACGCAGGTTTCCTCAGTTATGCCACGTAGTTTCTCCGACTTTGTTCTGATGCCTGCAGTGAAGGTATCGTTTGTAGTTGTATCTTTCAGTTTCTGGGTGTTGAACCTGAATTGTGGTCTGTCTCCAGTTGCTTTGAAGGCTTTTTTCCTGACCTTGGGGGTTCCTTGAACTAGATAATAGCCCATATCCTCTCCCCTTCTTATAAGTATAAAACTTGGGCACTGTGTTTTTTTTTATTACAGCTTGATTACACACCGTATTTTCAGTACAAGTGTGGAATTTTCAGCGTGGATATCGGTAGCCCAAATTTTGCAAGCCGACCATAGATATCGGGTGTGCGTTGGCAGAGGATCGAACCCCCGACCATGTGCATGGTCGGCGAGCGTCCCTACCGCTATGCCACCGACGTGTTAGAGTATAACTCCATTATTAATAACATTTTATTATGATAAGTCAAAGTGTTACAGAGTTATATTAACTGATGACGTTTCGAGCACAAATTATTGCTCATAATCATATCAAGTTACTCACACAACTTTCTTGCTTCATTTATAAACATGTGTGGAATTGACTAGATGTTTAAATAAAAATCAATATAGGCTACTGTACATTCAGAAATAATAATACGATTGTTATTGATCAATTGCAATCAGATGGGAAATAAGACGAGTGTTTTTATATTCATAATAAGTTACTTGTTAGAATGCTGTGATGTGTTTGAATTGAAATAGAATTTTCAGATTATTTATTATCCTCCTCTGATTTGACTGGTGGTAATAATATCTTCCATATTTCTGGTATTTGCATTGAGTCATTTCTCTTGCATGTGTTGGGTGTAGACTCGATGAACAAGGATTCAGTAATCAATCTCTCTCTCCACCTACCTAGATTACTTTTCAGAATTTTAACCCCCTCCCACCCTATTGTGTGGTTGTGTGTTAATGTGTGAAGTATAATTATTATTGTATCCTTTAATTCCTACAGGAACATAGGGCTTCAGCCGTGCGTCTCCATTGCGTCCTGTTCTCTGCTAGAGTCTTCACCTGGTTCCAAGTCTGCCCACACATTTTCATCTCCTCTTCACATGACCTCCTCCAAGTTACCCTTGGACGACCAACTCGCCGCTTCCCTTTCGGGTTCCACTCAAGGGCTTGTCTAGTGATGTCACTTGAAGTGCAATTGCTGAGCTTTTTTCTAAATTACTTATCTTCTCGGGGTCAACCATTCTTACCTTAGCTAAATTCTTATGTTCCGATAATTTGATTAACCCCGATCTACTAGTTTGATCTATGTAATTGACCTCACAGTCATTGCAGGGTATTTTGTAAATTGTATTATTTTGTTCAATTGGGTCCACCGGGTCTTTTAGCCTACAGAGCTTGTGCTCGAAACGTCATCAGTTTATATTACTGTGTAACACTGTGTGACTTATCAAAATGAAATCTTAACCATAATGGAGTTAGCCACTCCCCTTCTCGACTTTGCGTCCAGCAGACTGCATCTCCATTTCTTGAACAGCATTGATAACACTCCCTCAGTGTGTTCGTGGTTGTTGTCTCGGTGGTTGAAGCAGATTACTGACTCTCCAGTTGACAATTTGGATAATCCACATCCATTCCATCTACTTTCGCGGATACCCAGCACTTGTATGCCATATCTTCGCATTTTGTTGGCTGCATGTACAGCCTTCCCAATTTCGTACATTGTACGGACATTCCGCATCCGCATTCTCAATTTGCTTTCATCGAGAGAAGGCACATTGGTTGACTGACTTCCTGGAGACTTTTACCTTTCTTATTGCTTTACATCATCAGTGGAACATAAGGCTTCAAGCTAGAGGCTTGAGGTTTCGGTAGCAGTGGTGTTTATTTTTACGGGATGGGGTTGCTGGCCTCATGCCCAAGCTTTCCTCGTTACCAGCCTTGTTAATGGCTTAGCGAGGTAAAGGAGTGCATCGACCAGGGATAGAACCCCGGACCACATGAGGCGTGGTTGATGAGCATTCTGCCGCTGTGCTACCGATGCACTAAGACTTTAATCATCCTGCGTTATTCTGCCTCTCCGATTCTAGCGAAAAATGTTTGTTTTAATATTTTTTGTGCGTTGAAGTTTTTATAGCATTTTGATTGATTTTGTGCGGTAGGATCGCTTGCTCCACGACCAATCATCCTTCTTTTCCCGGGCATGGGACCGGCTGCAAAACTAGCGAGCTAGTAAAGTTGTAGTGAGAGCTGTTAGCAAGACAAAATTGTAGAGAACAATTGACGTCAATGTTTACGTCCTGAATCGTGGTCATGAGAAAAAGAACAACACCTAGCCTTGAGGAATTCAACAACTAATCACAGCAGACTTAGCGATTCGCAGAAATTCGGATAACTTGTAGGCAACGGTCACAAGCAGTACAGAATAACCTTCAGCAAGAAAAACCGATCAGACGATGTTGCTTCTCTGCTAAACTAACGAATAATAATGTAGATAAAAATCCATATCTGTTGATTTTCTCAATAAACGATCTGTTACCTGACCTTTGTCTTCTGTCGTTACAAAGTTAGCCAGGTCGTACAAGAGGAAGAATGAATAAATTTGTGAAACAATGCAGAAAGATGTGATCGAGAGAAAAGACTCCAAACTCGATTACTTCGTACAAATTAAAGTTCCGGTCTGCGGTTGTTGTATTGTACCACTACGGGATATAATTTTTGGAAAGTAACATTTCTGCTACCTGATGCACATGTGTTACTGCAGTTACTACAGTCTACAGAATCCGGAGAAATAAATGTATATTGATTGGTCATAGATGAAGACTCAATTGGTAATGTACTATGTTCATATAGATTAACAAAATTACTTGCGCAATACGTTTTTGAGTCATCCCAATAAAACAAAGTTTCTCGTTGAATGTATTAAAAGTGTCTTAATACAGACCAAATATGATGCACTTCATTCTCACTTAATAATTACCGCACTTCGTCTATGCTTTTATACTCGTCACCAATTATTCCTTCGGTAGTTTCATTGATGACTGCTTTCCCCCTATATAGGTCTCAACATTTTCTTAACGTAAGTAATAATTTTTAAATTATGCCATCTTTTGTAAGCCAGAGGCGTAAATCCCTAATTTTTTGCTCTTGCTTCATTCATGACTTAAGAGTCATTGTGTTAATGAAGAAGTTTTTTTCGAAACAACTCATTCTTGTTAAGAATACTAAAAGTTGGTGTAACCTTCGAATATGAAGGAAAAGAGACAATACTTATGATGATGAGGAATTATTGTTTTAGCAATATAATCACTTTTAAAAACTTTTAAAAACAAGTAATCCAATACTTCAAGGTAAATTTTATCATGAATTGACATCAATTAGAGGACCACTTGAAATCAGGAAGCATTGAACAACTGTTTTGTCCCCTTTTGGTATCCTTCAACAGTGTGGAAATCAGAAACCATAAGTTATCAGATTGCAACCTGGTGTCTGAATGATCAGGGGACTCGCCTCTAAACCTGAAGGTCTTGGACTCGATTTCAGATACGGTTGTGGGTACACACTGCTGCAGACTCTTAAACCGGAAAGAGCCACTGCTCAGTGCTTCCTGGATTTCAATGACTCGTTAATTGATTTCATTTCGTATCAAAGTCTACCTTGAAATCAATCAAATTCTTACAACCTAACTCTTAAGAATCTAGTATTTGAAAAACAACCACTTTAAGATTTTTATCAGTTTATTCAACAGTAATATTCTCCATAGAAGGAAACAAACATTATTTATTCCTTTCCTCTAGTATTCTGTCTTTCTAATTATAAACCTCTCTATTAATATTGATACTTAAAAAGTTAAATTTCTTTACAGCTTATTACTAATTTGTTGGGAATACCTACAGCTAGAACAATGTTCAATACTCCAAAGTTTGTAAGTACTCCTTTAAATTTTAGTGTGTACAAAAGATAAACCAGAAATAAACAATACCATGCCGACAGCATGCGATGCATATATATATATATATATGTTTCCCTTTAGTTCCGAGTGGAACATAGGCCTTCCACAGCACATCTCCACTTAGCCCTACTCTCTGCGGTCTACTTTAGCTGGCCCCACGATTGCCCACAGTCTCCTATCTCCTCCTCGCATGATCTCCTCCATGTCACCCTCAAAGCGACGCCCCATTCGTCGTTTCTCATCCGGATTCCACTCGAGGGCTTGGCGCACGATGTCACTCGACGGCCTCCTCAGTGTATGTCCAATCCATTTCCATTTTCTTCGGAATACTTGTTGAGCAATCGGCTCTTGGTTGGTTTGTTCATCGCTAAAGTTTCTTGTTGCTAACTCTTTCTGACCGGCCATCTGATCTTCAGTATGGAGCGAAGGCAGCTGTTGGTAAAAGTCTGTAACCTGCTGGAAATGCTTTTCGTGACACGCAGTGCAAGTTTCTGACCTATATAGAAGCACTGACTGACTTCACATCGGTGTTGAAAATCTGAATCTTGTTGTTTATGCTGAGTGCAGGAAATTCCCGAACTGATTTCAGATTGATGAAGGCGTATCTTGCCTTTCCAATTCTGGCTGACTTTGACATCTTCATTCGTTCCGCCTGTAGTTGAAACGATGCTTTCTGGATAAGTGAAGAAAGCTACATCCTTCAAATTTCTCCCGTTGGCGGTGATTGGTGCTGCTTGTTGTCGCTGTTGGTTAGTTATCTTCATCACCTCTGTCTTCTCTATGTTCACCTGGAGTCCTGTTTTCGCTGCTTCTTCTGCTAGTTTGTTCGTTTTCGCCTGTAAGTCTTCAAGTCTGTGTGACATAAATCATCTGCTAAATGCAGATCTTCTAGAGTCTTTATACTCGTCCAGTGTATTGCTGTCTTCTCACTCCCCACGCAGAGTATGACGCATGGTCCAATCCACCACAATTAGGAATATGATTGGTGATAATAGGCGGCTAGCTTGTTTTACTCCTGCATTCAATTCAAAGTCCTCGCTGAGTGAGTTTTCCGTTGTGGATCACTTGATACGTGCCACTGTCACATAGCCAGCTGTTTGATAGAGATTTGGGCACTGAACGCCATGGTGTTGAAGTAGTTTCCAAATTACCTCTTGGTCAACGCTGTCGAAGGCTTTTCGAAGTCGATGAAGTTGAGGTGGAGGTTTGACTGCCATTCTCTGCTTTGTTCGATGATGATGCACAGAGTTGCAATTTGATCAGCACATGATTTACCTTTCCTGAATCCAGCTTGTTCCGGTTGGCGAAGATCTGCATCCAGTGGATGTCTTAGTCTCCCCGAAATGACGTGACTTAGTATTTTGCCTGGCGTGGAAAAGGGGATTATTCCACTCCATTCCATTCCATGCAGAGGCCTAGGTTAGCCTTCTTTGGAAGCTTGACAAGGTAGCCAGCCTTTCTTCCAATCGGTGGGCACCTTTCCAAGCCTTTTGCAATAATGGCGTGAGCACATCTACTGCAGTCTCTGGGTCCGTCTTCAGTTCTCCAGGAGCAATTCCGTCTGATCTTGCTGCCTTCTCGGCCTTCAGTGGGTGGATTGCATTCAAGATTTCTGTCTGTGTTGGAGGATTGGTGTCCACTGGCAGGCAGTTCTGTGCGTGCTGTCGGTGGTGGTGGTATTTCTGGGCGGGCTGCAGGTGATGGTTGATTCAAGAGTGCTTTAAAGTGATCAGCCCATTGTTTTGTTTGCCTCTCCTCTTCGGTAATTAGGTTCCCTTGACCATCGTTCATAGGTTTCTCCTGTGTTGATCTTTTCTTGGATAGAGACCTGGTTATCTGGTGTGATATTCTGAGGTATCTCTCACCTGTGGCCTGTTCTACTGCAATTTCTGTTGAAATTTCCTGATAATTTATTACAGTTAATTGATCCATGGTAAATCTGTTGATAAAGGTAAATATCTGAGCTGCATAACGTTCCTTAAAAATGTAATTCCCAATTAGCATTTTGAAAGCACGTAACAAAGGTTGTCTTTTTCTTAAAATAACAAGTACGACCGCATTTTAGATTAATGGAATGCGAACAAAAGACGCTTACAGATGTTGTGACTGTGGAAATTCAGAAATACTTATCAGCAAATGAAGTTACGGAATAAATGACGAAAAGTAATCATTTCAAGGCTCAAAATGGTTTTATGTAGCACATTCATAAAACACGTATCATCGATAAGTTCAATTGCTATATCCTGAAATTTACGTTTTTTTACACCAATAAGTCTGTATAACTACATCCATCTCGTAGATGATTATATCTAAGACAACCTCTCATAACCTTTCTGTTTACAAATTATATCAGAATAGCTCATTGAACAGTATTGTAATGCCTGCGTAACTGCCTATAATACGTCATCAATTTATTTATGTACGATTTAAAAAATGGTATACAGGTGGGAAAAGATTCATATTAAGTAAGTTACTGTTCATACCAAACCCCAGCGCCAATTGATGCAGATGGCAAGGCACTAACCACGGGAGTTACTTTGTAATGAGTACCAGCTAACATTTGCTGAAATTATTATCTCGAATTTCCCACTAATCGGAAGATATGCTGCATAGCTGGTTAATCAGACGTCTAGAAGCTTCTATAATGTTCGGAACTTTGGAAAATCATAAGAATATTTGTATATGTTCAACTATCATCACCAGAATATTTTCTACCTTGCCTGCTTTTTTAATAATTTTCTATAGGTTGATTATTTATCAATAAAATCAAATGATTCTGAACTAAATTTACGAAAACAATTGGTTTTATGGTTAGTAAATTTACCAAAACAAAATTTACTCGACCATATGTCTTCTGAATGCGGTTCACACAATCGAAATTGGGATGCTGATGCTAGTGCGGAGAATGGTAGTCATCTTTAAGATATTTAATTAACAATTACAATTAAGCACAACATGCTTAACTGAAATTTAAAAGCGGAAACGATTTTCGTAATTTTTGACCTTTATGTATTACTTTTTTTTTAATCAGTTAAATATAAGATATGGGGAAAGACAAGATTTTAATTTCTGCATGAACGTTCTGTCATCAGTTTATGAATTCAAAACCTAACGCAACGTATTCAGTGTTAAACAATCCGTAGGAAAAGGATTAATAGCATATTCCAATCTAAATAACACAATAAGAACAACTTTTGCAGAATAAGACGGATCCATTTTATTTCACAACATTTTCGTCAGCTGCATACAACGCGAATAATAAACTATATAAGAATAATTAAAAAGACGGGTGCAGCAAAAAAAATTTTCTTTTCGACGAAGTTATCAGCTAGGCTGTATATTAGTGTATCTATAGTGAGTGGGTGAGGAAGTTCCAGAACTATTTCCGGTCTGGGGGCAAATTAAATTACTATTAAACTATATAAGTAATGATTGTGAAATAATTTAAACATACTTTAATTAAATTGCCAGTTCATTTCATAACATGCCGAAAATGGAGACGATGTGCAAACTATGCAAAAAGTTAATCAAAAAAGTGGAGACAGCTACATAGTCACGTGCAAAGCTATTTTAACCGAAACGAGAGAGGTCAAGGACACAAAGATATCAAGAATTAGTAAAGAAACAAAATAATGCAATTATCCAGTTACGTCATAAAAATGGAGTCGAATTTCGACAAATTAGGGTGAGTCACTGCTTACCAAGTTAGTAACAATCTCTGCTTGCACATTCTTCGGATGGTCACTGCTTCAACAATTCGAAGTAGTTGCGAAGTAATTTTTCTAATCATCAACTTAGAAGATTCTACTATGTTGGTATAGTGTCCTGTATCGTCCAGGTGCTAAGCTATAGCGCTATTAAATGATGCTGAACCTCTAAGACGTAGACTCTCGGCAACGTGTTTACCGATCCTTGTAGACAAACGTTTCTCCACTCTTCCTACGTACTTGCTACCGCATGTACATGTGAATTAATAAACACGCAGTTAAGGAGAGTTGGAAATTGGTCTAGTTCGGGATGTGTAATCTAACAGGTTGATTTGATATTGAAGAATCAGTTTGGCGGCTAGATACATCATCGATATCGCGACATTTATTAGTCTGTCAATTCTTTTTCCAATCTCGCCACCATTGAATCATAATTTCAGGGACACTAGTTTCCCCTTGACAATAGTACTACGCTCTACTCTCTTCTTGTTACACTTACCATACTTCTGCACGAATTGTTTTGGGATATCCGTTGTTCCTTGAACAGATTTCAGTTGTCTTATTGCCAAACTGACTGACTCAGCTCCTATTATTTGGTTCTTATTGGCAAACTTCTACACGCAGGTAAACTGTTTTGCTAGAGGCAGTGTGTGTAGAATACAACACTTTCCCAATATAAGAAATTGATCTAGGCAGATTGAAATGTGCAAAATGTCAAGAAAATAGTTAATTTGGACAGTGAATGCAAAAAGAAGAATCTGTCAATGCGATAACACAATAACGACCTTGGACCTGTTAATAACAAGTTTCAATAAGTGGTCACTTATGTGCTTAGATTTATTGTTGTTTTTTTTTTATTAAAACTCGTTCAAACAGTATTTTAAATCCTCTACTTTCCTCCCATAGTTTGACACCGTATCATTCTATACCGAATTCATATTGGTTATTCTTGTGCTGTGTAAACTTCCAGTTAATTTTTATTTATCACAGAACTCGGGTGGAAAGCAATAGTTAGCTGATAGCATTAGATTATTCAACTACAGTACGAAAGAGAAATAGTTTGTGACCTTTTTGCTCTGTTAATCACAACGTAGCAGCAGTGTTTAATTACTTCAAAAGTGCGTTGGTGGTTCAGTGGTAGATTGCTTGCCAACCACGCACGCGTTCCGAGATGGACTCCCGGCTGACGCACTCCTTACCTGGTTTACTAGACGATAGTAGTCCTGAGAAAGAGGGAAGGTTGGCCGTGAGGCTAGCAAACTTACCCCGTAATAAAGAACACCACTACTGAAACTTTTATGCTCTAAACTCCATCTCCCACTTGGGATGCAAGGAATTAAAAAATTCCAATCACTTTGAATCCCATCAAGGATAATCTGATTTCTTTATTATTCATTAACTGTGAATAATCATAAACGCTACTAGGAATATTTTGACTAAGTTGTATATAAATGAAATATCTTCTAAACTATTATCTTAAACAGTGTTTTGTAAGTCTCATTATTGAGATATCTTGTTGACTGTTTTAGAAATATAATACCTACCGATTTTCAACATATATTACTAAGTAGTTATTCTCTGAGCAACTAAGATAGTTAAAACTTTAAAAAATAACCGATTTGTTTACGAAAGCCTTCTTTAGATTAAATCAGGGCCTTTTTAATCTAAAGACTTTAGTAATAGCATAATGAACTAGGTAAACAAGACATATCAGGTATATTGTGTAAGTAATCGGATGAGACTTACTGTCAGCCTCCTTGAACTTTGGGCTGGCAAGGTACCCTACTTAGAATTACTTCTTGTGTTTCGTTTTAATTAATTAGAGATGTTATTTTCACGCAAGCAGTTTCAAAAATATTTCAACGTATTGCTTTCGTGTGCCACATAAATCCGAGAGAAAATATTATACTGGATGGTAGAGAAGAGTAAAGGGTACAGGTACATTAAATGACTATCCATGAATAAGTTAGCACAGTCTGCGAATTTTATGGCTGTCTCCTTTTATTTTTATTTGTAAAAACAGTGAAGTCACTGCAACGTGAAAATGTTGAATAAAACTATCGTCGTTTCACGGTGTTATAAACTCTTGTCACCTTGCATGCTGTGCTAAATGCTTTTAAATTTTTCATTCAGACAAGTTATTCTGAATTTATCTCACATAAACCAACTAGGCAATCTATGCTTGGAGTTATTAAACAGTTACTCTTCCTTAATCTAAAATTTGGTGGGAATTCATCCGCAGAAATATTAAGAAATCCTTTGTTATGCAGTAAGGAAAACCTTTGGGGGGGGGTGAACCGTAGCTCCCTCTATATCAGTGATAATTCTATATTATGCATAAAGCATAAATCGGCGCTGTTAAACTAAAAAATGTATATCTAACAGTTTATTTGCCCCTATTGAGCAATGCATGTTGGCCCTATACAGAGTTTTTAATCTCGATGTTTGGTCGAGCATATACCATTTTGGTCCTACAAGAGAAAAATGTCTACCATCTTGAAGTTTCATCTTAAGTTATTTTATTGATTCCAGCTACCCAATGGACTTACAAACTAATTTCAGGGTACACACACACACGGTGAAAATAAAACTTTAAATTAGAAATTTGCATATAGAAGAGACCTGCTCTGTTATTGAATTCACAATAGACTTAACGTATGTAAGAGTTCCATCTTTGAAAATCTTTTATCACATTACGCCACCACCCGTTACGTGCCCGTGTCTATCTTGCTATTCTACTGTCAGAATGCACTCAGTTCTCCTACTTATATTCATTCAACTTCAGTTAATCTCGCTTCAGTTTTGAAATTTTTTCGATTACACCTCCCATGTTTTAATCAAAACCGCATTGCGACTTAATGCCACTGCTATTGAATGCCGTTGGGAAGTACCCAACTTTGCGAACTCCACCCCTTATTCTCAGTGGTTCTGTATGATGGCACCTAACACCAGAATTCAACCAAGTTGTGGAGTGATAAATATTATTATAGTTATAACAGTCAAGTAACTGTAAATTAATACAAGTGAAACATTTAGGGAGCAGATACATTGATTTTTAGTTGTTAAACTTATTAAATTCCCTCACTTGATAATGTCGATTTATTTCAAATTCCATCCTACAATAGAATCCAGACCAATCCTACATCTTTTAAACTTATTCAGTATAACAATTTCATCTCTACGTAACAGGACACACGTGAACAAAACTCACTTTATTCATCCCTTACTTTCGGAGTGGGATAAAGGGCTTCAAGCTTTGCAGTTTCAGTAGTGGTGGTATTACTTTTACGGGGTAGGGTTTCTAGCCTCACGGCCAACATTACGTCGTACTCGACCTTACCATTAGCCGTTGAACTAGACGATGCTTAGGAGAGTATCGGTCGGAAATTAAACCCTGGACCACGTGTGTGAAAAATAAAACTAAAGTATAATTATAGACTGTATTGCAGGACAGAACGTATAGACAAAGGCCAATCGATTGTTTTAGTCATAAAATCAGCTGCAAAGAATGTCTGGTTGAAATTTTTTATTCCTTTACGTTCCTAGTGGGACACAGGACTTCAAGCTAGAGGCTTGAACTTTCGGTAGCAGTGGTGTTTATTTTTACGGGATGAGGTTGCCTCATGCCCAACCTTCACTCTCTACCTATCTTATTACTGAGTTAGCATGGTAAAGTAGTGCGTCGGCCGGGGACCGAACTCCTGACCACATGTGTGGTCGACAAGCATCCTACCCCTGTGCCACTGACGTACCTGAGTGAATTAAATACCAATATGAACAGTTGTTCATCGACTAGTCGAATGTGCGTGCTACTTGTTAATACATATGAATAGTATGTGCAGTGGCATCTTCGAAGGACTAGTCGTAATTTTTGTTCCGTTGGAAAAAACCAACGAAGAATGTGATGACACTGAGAAGAATCCAGTTTTTATCTGAATACATACAACGAAATACTAACAATCTTAATATTACTAAACTAATGAAGTCAATCTTTTAAGTGTTCCTTTGTGCGCATTAGATTAGTTTCAATTCCGATCTCATCACAAATCAGTAAAATCCCTACAAACCGACACTTGAAAATTAATGTACTGCTTATTAGTGACTGACTTTGGGATTGACTTCGTGTAATTCTAGTAAGAACTCATCGTATGTATCCACAACACTACCTGAGGTCAAAAATAGTACCTTTAAGGTTACAAGATGAGCCCGCTGACC